TTTCCAATAAGGAATAAATTTGTATTCTTCATTCCAGTAACTTCAAATGCCGAATAAATTTTCATTCATCATGAAATTTGAAATAACGAATACATTTTTCCATTCCAGTAAAATAAAAACTTATTCTTCATTCAAGTAATTGCGAATGACGAATAATTTTTTATTCATCATAATGAAATTTCAAATGACAAATAAATTTTTATTCAACATTCAAGTAATTTCACATAAAGAATAGGTTTGTATTCTTCAGTCATGTAATTCTGAATATAAAATATTTATTCTTCATTCGAAACTACTTGTTTGTTTATTTTTATGTTTTTAATTCAATTATTCATTTTCCTGATTACGCCCTCGCTGTTGTAAATGTGTGTACGGTAGCGACTTCTCAATAAATCCTGTAAATCTGACGAGTAAAGGAACAGACTAATTATATACTAGGTACTTAAGGACATTATTATTCAGGCCATTTCTAATGAATTTAGCTATACACTATGTCCAAAACATAAAAAAAAATTTGATTGCACGTACACTTTTATTTAAACATCAATAAACGTTGAACCAAGCCCTGACAGTTAAAAATGGCTGCTTGATAAACTTTTGAATTTAGGACTTTTCACTGTTTCCTACTTCACATCATTTAAAAATATATATTCGTATGGAAACTATTCTGTAAATTATTTTGAAGACTAATATCAACCCCTTTGCGGAAAATTATCGTTGTTACAAAAACCATATTTTACAGGGGTGTTTTTCTCTGCTTTGGCTAGCACCAACAATACTAAAGTTTAGATTTGCTAAGAGAAATATAACTAAACGCAATATTTTTTTGTAGAAGTCTCTATTTTCTGAAAAGAACGAGTTTTTGGGCAGATAGGATTATATGTATACATAATTTTGCTCACAACGTTTTGTAAATGTGTTCATTAAATCTGGTACTTACGATAACGTTTGAAACAGTTTAAATTACGCATAAGCGGAAACACAAAATTGTTTGTGATGTAAATTTAATAAAGGGCGCGTTTCTAAGACGTAGCTGTTGTTAAACTGATGAGCGCTTGATTTAGAAACGCACAGTTGAGTAGTTCCGCTCAGCTGAACGGTTGTTGATTCGACGCCATTTTTTCCATCGTAAAATTATTTCGCTACATGAACTCAACAATTTAACTGAAAAATTATATTTCCCTTCCGTCAGTTTTCATAATAAATTTAAAAAAAAAATGAAACTGGCTATAAATAAAATAAAATACACGTGTATATTTAAAATAAATGGAAAATTCGTGGACTTATAAGCATATGTAAGTACATATGTCCCAGTGTTCGTATGGAATAGTAGCATAAGTTGGGATGCTTTAGTGTTCATATGTTCATATTTTTGGCTTAGTAAAAATTTATTTTGGTGCTCTTTTATTTAATTTTACAAATATCAGCTGTTTGTTGGGCAGTTCATGTATCATACCGTTTCTAAGCCGTAACTGTTGGACCCAACAGTTGACAGCATTTCCGCTACAGTTGGGGTAAACAGTTGCATCTTAGAAACGCGCCCATTTATTTCGGATTTTTTTTCTTTTGACTGTTTTTGACATTAATAAAAAACAAAAGTAGTATTAAAAAGGAATCCGTTTTATTAAAATTTGTGTTTTGAAATTGATTTATACATAACTGTTTTAATCCTCGGTTGTTGTTGTTGTAACAGCAGTGCTCAACCCCCCAGGTTCTGTCATGTATCGTCGTCTTCATCCTCCGACTCTGTAAGCCTGAGGCCGAGAAAGCGGGCAGCGTCGATAGGCGTGGTCCAGAGCGCTTCTGGTGTCAGGGTCGTAGGGTTGTAGGTGCAGGTGAAGAAGTGCTGGGTGTCATGGGGACCTTTCCCACATGCGGGGCAGGTGTTTGCCACTTCACTCCTAGGATATAAGGGTAATTAGTCGTCGGTATTTTGGCGCCATCGACGAAGACGTCCAGTTCTAGCCCTACCTCCTTGGTCCAGGTTGTAAATAGTGTGGCGGTGGATTTTGCGGCGGAGATTTGGAGGCTTCTTGCAGTGAAGAAGTTGGAAAGATCGGTGAGATAGTCGGTTATTTGATCGCTGAGTCTGTCGATGTTTGGGCCAGTTGCCATTATGGTGCAGTCGTCAACGTAGCTTACCAAGTTAACTCCTGCTGGCGACGGAGGGAGTTTTGCCATGTAGAGATTAAACAGTGTCGGGAGAGTACGCCGCCTTGAGGGACCCCCTGTTTAATTCTTCGCGGCTAGGACCTGACATTTCGGAATTCGACTGATGACTGACGACCACACAGATAGCTGGTTATCCACCGTTTCGTCCGAGCTGGAAGCGACGAGTCCAGGACGCCTTGGCATAGGGTCGCGTGGTTTACCGTGTCGACAGGTTCACTGCGACTAGGACCGTACTATCACAGGGTCGACGTTGGTTCAGACCCTCGCTAATCTGTGTGGTAATGGTGTTTAATGCTGTTGTCGTGCTGTGTATTTTTCGGAATCGGCTAGCTTCAGATGCTTCGTCAGGCTGGGGAGGAGTAGTGCTTCCATGGTTTTTGCCAATGGGGTTAGGAGGGAGTCTCCTGCGTCCGCTTTCTTCCGTGGCTTAAGGAGGGGGATGATACTACCCATTTTCCACATCTCGGGGATGATCAGGGTGGACAGTGACAAGTTGAAAGCGGCGGTCATGTGCTCGACTCCCGCAGGTCCTAGCTTTTTCAGCATCTGCATGGAAATTCCGTCTGGGCCTAACGCCTTGGATTTTGGCGATCCGGCCGGCTGGTATGAAGCGAGCGGCTGCTGCGTTGATGATCCTACGGATATTAGGCTCTGCTACGCGCGCGTATGATGGTAGTGGAAGAGCATTAAATTTGCGATCTGTGAATTCCGTGTAACCGTCCCAGTTTTCCTTCCTTGTGTTCATGAAAGTACGGTTCTCGGATGTTATAAAATCTGTCGGCTGGTCTATCGCGACTACTATGGGCAGGTGGTCTGATGCGAGCGTAAGCACTGGTTGCCATCCCATGCAGTTTATCAGATCCCCGCTGGCTATAGTTATATCTGGCGAGCTATAGCAGTCACCCACGACCCTGGTGGGGGCACCATAGTATGGCCCGGTTGTAGGTTAAGTAGAACTGGCTGGCTCACACAGCCAGATATTTTCGTTCACGGCGTTATCAGATAAAACTGCCATTCATGATGAATAGTTGGGCAATATATCAAGAATCCATGAAACCTTCTTAGAGAATTTTAAGGGTTTGTTTAACCCTTGCTTTTACATTTAAAAAAGTGGCCGTACGAACAAACAAAAAACATATTTTTAAAATAATTCTTAAAATCGAATATCTCTAAAACGGTCAAGTTTTGGACATCATGTCATAAAAACAAAATAATCAAAAATTACCAAAATAATAATGCTCTTAAGTATCTAGGATGACTGTCCCGGTAACCATGTATCTACTTTTTAAAAAGATTGCATTTCAAAAACTGTTTGCTTTTAGCTTCAAGTTACACCGCTTCGCTTTTGTTGTTGTTACTTTCATCATTAAAAGTATGCCCACATTATCGTAATTTTATAAGCAAATCAAGCAGAAATCAAGTTTTTTCGCATTATAAAATTTATCAGAAAATTAAAAAGAAATTAGATAATTTATCATAAATCAAGGATCAAATGAAAAAAACAAGAATTGTTATTTATTTTAGCTACCACTGTTGAGGAAATTTATAAAAATAATACCTGAAAAGGTATGCAAACATTTATTTTGAATGCTTTCATGATTTCTATATGCATTTGATTAGCATGTCTTTGTACGAGTGTGCGGCTTGTACTTGATTTCCTCAACAGTGGCAGCTAAAAGAAATGGCAATCCATTGTTTTCTTCATTAGGTTCTTGATTTATGATAAATGAACTCTCTATTTAATTTACTAATAGATTTTACAAAGCGAAATAACTTGATTTCAACATGATATGCTTATAAATTACAAACGAGCCGCAAATTTCTATATTGTAAATATGCATTAAGTAATTTATACTGTAATGTGAACATAGTTTAAGGCCCTTTGTTGGCCGCATAGTGTTGGTGCATTTGTTGTTGCTGCTGCTGCTGGACATGACTGGCTGGTGGTGGCGGTGGTAAAGGCGGGTGTGTGCGCATCTGTGACATGTGCGCCTGTGGCGCAATGTGTTGAAACATGCCACACTGCTGCTGATGTAAATGGTGAGCGTGTGCATGCGCGTTCTGGAAGTGATGTGGTGCTGCAATAATATCGGTTGAAGTGTGCAAAATGATTTCTGGTTCAATTATTGCAATTTCACGCTCATCGCCGTTGCTCGAGCTCGAGGCGCCTGGCACATGAGAACCACTCGCAATAACATGAGATGAGGCGGTTGCCTCCGTATTATATTCCTGCTTGATTGCATGATATTCCTGTTTAATGCCGTTGGTTGGATACAAAGAAGCGGTTAAGTTCTGATGTAAGATTGGATGGCACAATTGTGGCATTAGTGTTACACCGGCAATCGGAAGCGGATGATGAGCAAAATTCGGTGGTGGATAGAGTATACTTTTATTCAGTTGTGCCATATGGGCCTGTTGGTGAATGTGTACACTAGCTGCCGAGATACTGGACGCTGCCACTGTGCTCATTGCCGTGGTGGGAGTGGTATGGCAATTATTTGACGTTGACGAAGGCCTTGAATTATGGCTAGCTATGGGGGCTAAGGCGCGCTGGCGACTATTAGCTTGTGACGGAGCGTCACCATCGTCAGTCGCCGGATCTGATATGATCACCTCCGGTTCAACAGGCACTGGCGGTATATTTGCAAATTCAGCTTGCAGCGACTCTTCAGTAATGATGCCCTTTTTGCGTTCTTTACGTATTTTATCACGTAGCTTTTCCAGCTGACGAAAAGCTTCATTGGCACGACGAGCCTTTTTCCGGTCACGATCCCGTTCCTGTTCCATGCGACGATACTCGGGATTTAGACGCTTCATGCGCTTTCGCTCCCGATCTCGTTCCCGCATCAACATCTTATTGCGTGCCTCTTCCTCGGGAGTGAGCTGGAAAGAAAAACGAAATTTTGAAGGCGTTTTCTAAAGCTTGGCTAAGCTAACGGCTTTAACTACTTCACCCAAAAGTATGCCGCAAAAACTTGACTTTAGGTATGACAATTGTTTATGTTATTACCATGACTTATTGAATAAGTGACAACAACGAACAATGCATGTATTCGGCGTCAAATTTTTAGGCGCAGTAGTTAAAGCAATAGTCATGCGATGAGTTTTGTCATTGACCTGGGAATAGGGTCGTAATATGTTTGCATATAGTCGATTGTTTCCTAATTTTATTTCAATACAATATTTCACCGCTACAAAGTTATAGTCCAGGCTACACACGAGACAACAGTTGAAGAAACCAAGTCTCATAGAAATTGGTTTGCCGCAACCGTCGCCCGCATTTCAAAACCACGACATACATTAGATAACAGCTCTGATCCAGTACTCCATGAATTTCCAGGTTGTTACACAAACTTGCAGGAAGTTACAGGAAAAATTATCCCGTACTCCAAATTCCTCCAAAATCCTGTAAATGAGAGCGATTTTTGGAATTGTGTAGAGAATGAAGTTGCAAGATTTTACCCGAACTTTTTTTTCTGGTAAAATCAGGAAAAGTGTCAAGCGATCACTGGTTGACGTTTTCACAGGAAAAATTATTTTTTTGTTCCCGTCCTTTTTGGTGTTACTCACTTTTTACTCTCACTTCAGAGAATTATTTTGCTGACATTTTTATACCCGAGCGCATTTGTGCACAAGGGTATATTAATTTTGTTCACATAACGGTTGTTTGTAACAGCCAAAACGAATCGAGATAAACATAGACAAATGTATACATAAATGATCAGAATGAAAAGAGAAATCGATTAAGCCATGTCTGTCTGTCCGTCCGTCTGTCCGTCCGTCCGTGTACGCGATAACTCGGGCAAAAATTGAGATATCTCAACGAAATTTGGTATGTAGGTTTCCATTTACCAAAGGAAGGTTTGTATTGAAAATGGGCGAAATCCGACTGTAACCACGCCCACTTCCCATATAACGGTAAGTTTCAGAAATACGAAAACTGCGATATTTTAGTGGAGATTATTCACTCAAAATCGATATTTACAATAAGTTTTAGACGAAAAATAAGAATATTATAAATTTTTGGAAAATGGGCGTAGCCACGCCCACTTATGGTTACATGCGTATATCTTGGTAACCGCTTTACCAATTTCTTCCAAACTTCGCACATCATACCAAATGGCCGAAAATTTTTAAAATCGGACAATAAGCACGCCCACATCTCATTTAACGGTAATTTAGAGAAATACAAAATCTTCGATGAATGAGTAAATATTAAAGCTAATTTATTCCAAGTTACATGCTTACAACAATTCTTAACCAAGAAATATGCTTGTGATAAAATTTTGGAAAATGGGCGTGGCACCGCCGACTTATGATCACATATACATATGTATCTCGGTAACCGTTCTACCAATTTGTACGTATAAACGGTACGGTTATTGTGCTTGCAATATAGAAGCAAAGCGTTGAAAATTATTGAGATCGGACTAAAATTGAGGCCGGTTTTCATATAACGGTAAATTTCAGAACTGCTAGAAACTTCAAAATTTCGAAATTTAAGGACTCTAATTTACTCAAAATTGATACGCCCCAGCTTACCATGTAGCGGTAGGTTTCGGAAAGGTGAAAAACATATATTTAATACTTGCGCCGGGTATTTAATGTTCGGCTCCGCCCGAACTTAGACTTTCTTACTTGTTTTTATCAAATATGAGCACTCAAATGAGTATAATAAATTATAACAGTTTAACGAGCGGCGTATGCGTATATTGATCAAGTAGCTATTTCAATAACTACTGAAGACGACCGACCACTGTACAAAGATGCTTACAAGCTATGATACTTATGTGCATATATCTATGTATGTATGTATGCATATACATACATACGTATACAAACTTACAAAAGCGAGACAGAATTCTAGAGAAACTTACATAGTAACAATGAATGGTATACATATAAGCATGTATGTATGTACAAGTATGTACAATAAAGCGAAGAACAAGCGTTCGAAACCTAACGGTGACTTATTAGCTATTTATAGAAATATGTATGCACATATATAGGCATGTATGTGCATATATACTTATATCCAAATGAATAGTGTGTACTACATAAAAAGAACAAACATTAATACAGTGTTGCCTACTACACTACTTTCATGTAAACAAATTATGTATGTCGAATTCCGCGACGAGCTTTTTTAAAAACGAAATAAATCAATACAAATTGTTATTGGGTCAAACCACGCCAACAGTGTCAATGAATTTCCATTGATTTTCTGGAAAGTGAAGACAATTGTCGGAATCTGTAGATAATTATAGAACAAAAATATACTTTGGACGGTTTTTCGGAATTGCACTTCGTTTTTGTTTTTTTGGTATTATAAAATATTGCAGTTTTTGAGAGAAAAATTCGTAACTCGCGACCCATTTAATGAAATTTCATGCAATTTTTTTTTTTTTTAAATTCATCAAATTTCATCAAATGGGTCGCGAGTTACGAATTTTTCTCTCAAAAATGCAATATTGTTATAATACCAAAAAAAAACAAAAGCGAAGTGCAATTTCGAAAAACCGTCCAAGTGTATTTTTGTTCTATAATTATCTACAGATTCCCACACTTGTCTTCACTTTCCAGAAAATCAATGGAAATTCATTGACACAGTTGGCGTGGTTTGACTCATTAGTTTTCATTAGAGCTTGAGTCAAGGCATATTTACTAAGGTAGAAGTGACAATTAGCTCGTACTCTCTCGTAGCTAGTTATAATAGGTCCATTCAATATCAACAAATTGTTACGAATTGCTACTAGTACTTGCAAGTTTTTACTGGAAATGCATTCAATAACCCAAAATATTTGCAAGAGAGAGCGAATTCGAGAGCGTAATTACCCGAGAGAGCTGCAAATTCTTGCGAGTAAAAATTTTACCAGCAGGAATTTGCAGGAGTCAAAAAATAAGGTTATGTTTCGAATTCAAATGTAAACAAACTATTTAAGAGGATGATTTGATGAAACATAATTAGTGAAATGAAAATATGGATGAAAAATTTAAACCTATTGTATATTTTTTATTTTTATGACGATGGGAACTATTCCTAATTAAAAAGAAAATTGCGCGCCAAAACTTAACCATCCAAAGTGTCAAAATGGTTTAAGTTGCAAATTTTTACTAGTTTTGCGTTCAATAACTTTTTCTGAAAATTTTCTCTTGCTCTCAATTTTACTCTCTATTTTTCTTTTACGCTCTCGCTGCATGTACTTACTGGAAAAGTTATTGAAGGGACCTAATGTCAAAAAACTGTAAACAAACAAATTAACCGTTTGAGTTGCGAATGCTATGTTTGGTACAAACTAGCATCAATTGAAGCGCATCAGCATAAATACATACATATGTATGTACGTATACCAATTTTAAGAGTTCCTTCAATATTAGGTTTGTACAGTAACTTCTCCAGTAAAACATTGCAGCGAGAGCGTAAAAGCAAAATAGAGCGTAAAATTGAGAATAACAGAAAACTAGCAGAAAAAGTTAATGAACACAAAACTAGCAAAAACTTGCAAGTGAACAGCTGTTGCACTGTTTTGATATTCTGCTGTAAACATTTTACTATTTATAAATCATTTTTAAACGCTTTGCTTTACACACACGCACTTACACAGTCCAGTACATCATTAATATTTTGATTTCTACTCATTTTACTTTTGTTTGTGCTAAACCAATTCAACAAATGGCGCTTATTCTTCTTCTTCTTTTGCTAGCTAATTTCTGCTAGTAGAAATTTCACTAGCAAGAATTTGCAGCTCTCCCGTGTTGTTACGCTCTCGATTCAGCGCTCTCTTGCAAATTTTTTGGGTTATCATACACTTTTCCAGTAAAAATTTGCAGGTTCCAGTACAAATTAGTACTGACTATTGGTTACTATACAAACCTATTACCTTTAAAGAATTTTAATTGCATTTGCATCTTTTATGCACATATGTACACATATGGACAGAAACGAATAACACATAAAGGAAACCACGTAAATAAAATGAAAGAAATGTTTTATGGAACTGTTTAAAGATAATTTTGTTTTTATTCGCCCAATGTTTTTGCGCGAGTAGTTTCTTATTTAAATATTTAATTCTAAAAAACATCCGGCACTTATCAAAAAATGATTTAATGTTTTCTTCTAAATTTATATGAAGACTTAACTCTAACAATTTCTTGATAGTTTTTTTAACTGCCCCTTACAGGTCTATTCTGCGCTGGTAATAAAAAGTTTGTAACCGGTAAATAAAGTTCCTGTCAATTTTTAAACCCTTTTCGCATTCTGTATACTCTTGTAACCGGTAAATTTTGTTACCATCTTATAAGCTGGTAACAAATTATTGCCCCGTGAAATATGCAATGCCACGATTTGCACAACTCTTCATAGCTGAATTGCTGAATATTTTAACTGCAATGCTAACGTACCTAGAATCGCGGTGACAAGAACTGGTAACATTTTTGGTAATACAATTTTCCGGTTACAAAATCTTCGGTAACGTGCAGAATAGACCTGTTAGTGATAATTTTTTCAAGGGAGGCTTGTAAAGACTTAGGACCGTTTACTCAATATGTGGTTAACACTAATCTCCGTTTAAACATCATTATCGACGTGTTCGGCTCCATGCATATAACATGGAGTCGTTTTAACGACTGCGTGCGTTAAATGCACTGCTCAGCTGCCACTCTTCGCATACGTGTGAAGTCCACATGTGCCCAGAGTGCGCTCACTGAGCTATGGCCTGCCGAACACTGATCTAGAGAATCAATTTATATTTTAAATTGCATTGTCATCATGATCGGAACTAGCCATGGGTAATAGCGCAAGCTCAATAACGCCAGCGCCACCTGTGGTGTCAGCGTACTAACTCAGCGCAACA